ATTAATAATAATAACAATTTTGACAACATAAAGAAGCTGAAGCTAGCTATTATTTGGCTTTTTTCCCTTTTTTATGAAAATGATTTCTTTGTTTTTTAATTATTTACTTAGCTTCAAAGATAATATTCGGACGGTCTGGAGATAAAAAAAAAAAAAAAACAATAAAAATGAGCAATACTAAAAGAAATCGAATGTAAATTGAAACTGAAACTTACGATGTTTTTGACGGTACTTCTATATTATGAGAAACAGCCCTTTTCTTGACCTCTGGTTGAAAATCGGCTAACTTGGAGTAATCCTGGTCCTGATCGACAAGTCTCGCCGACTTCCTGCTTTCCAAAAGTCTCACGTCTTCCAGTTTTTTGTTTACTTCTAAAAAGTCACAGGTAGCCAGTACCCGGACTAGAATGGCTACTTCGTTGGTTCGCCGGTCATGGCTCTGTACAGTGCCGGTCACCTCTCGGCCATTTAGAGTAATATACACTTTCTGTCCTTCAAGAAGATGAACCGACGACACAGACTGGAAACCCGGTCCGATTATGCTCTTAGGGCTCACTTCTAGAATTTGCCCATTCTCAAATTTCACACTGTAAGAAGTAGCTGCCCCTTGTCCAAATCCACGAATATTGTTACTTGTGTTAGTAAATTCGCCACTGACATTATTCAAACAGTTATTTGCATCACCTGAATCGGGAGGTGATCGCAAAGCTTGTATGACCCCCGTATAGAATCGGCCATCTTGGCATTTTGCACTGATTTTAGTGCCCACAATTGAACGTTTCGCTAAACGCCTATTTCCAGACATAGTTTTAGTTTTTACTCGTTCTATTGAACAAGAGGAAAGAAAATCCACGTAGGGACTGATATTATTAACAATAAAAAAGTGAAAGGAGTAAAGGCGAAACCAACTAGCCTTTTTTAAAGTCCATAAGTGAGAGAAACATTGATCTTCGTTAGTTTTGTTACTTATTTTTAAGGCGCCGTAGAATAATAAAAAAAAATAAATATACGTTACGATAAATGGCGTAGGTGCTGTTGATTTTTTTTTACAGAGACTTAATCGCCAAAACAAACATTAAGAAAAAAATTAATAAACAGCGTCTACAGTACACAATGAATCAATTTTAGTTTTGATTTTTTTTTCTATTTTATTTCTTTCTATCTCTTTCCCGAATCGAACCAGTCCTGTTGATTGATTGTATATTTTTTCATTTTCATCACATTGTTATGATATAGCTATAATATTTATTTCGCCGGTTGTCAGTCCCCATCTCCCTTTTTATCACACTTTTGAACTTTTCGTAAGTATAATAATAATACTTTGAAGAACCTTTTACTGCCACGTTTCGTTTGCTTTTCACACTTCTCTGATACTCAAATAATGGTGTATTGTAATCAATCAACTGATTTAGTGTTACAGTTGTTACGATGCTGTTTTAAATTACTAACGGAACCGAAAAAAAATGTAATATTTGTTTTAATTAACGCAATTACGACATCGACGTTAACTGGATCGATGACGAGAATTAAACAGTAAACACACGTCTTTAAAATTTAAACTATTTTCAACTCAATTATTATGAAATTCAATTTTTTCAATAGTTCTGGAATCTGAATGATTTGTTGAGATTTGAGAAGGAAAGTAAAAAACAAAAATTTATTAAAAATTTAGTCAATCTTGAGAGCGAAAACAAAATATTTTTGTTAATTCCTTAGATTACAATACATGTTTTTAAAATGTATATACACTCGTATGCATTTATTACTTTCGCCAAAAAAGTTAAACAGCGTATGCAGTCGACAGAATTTATACTGAAATATACAGTCACCGGTTTGTTTTGGTTTTAAACCAGTGGGCGGGGTTTCGCCTTACACCAACAAAGCCACGTGCTCACAATCCTGCAACATGATTTGTTTACAAGCACACCCCTCATGCTCTGATTAGTCGTTTTCTCAGTCAATGCTGACGTCACCGGTCACTATCGGTGGTGGTGGGTCGCCAAGCCGGCATCGCGTACATACAAGCTTTTTCTATCAGGTACTAATGGTAAACACATCTGTTATTTACAAAATATTTCCCAACTTTTTGTTTTTAACCAAAAGAAAGAGATTTTCTCTTTAGTAAATTTTTAGTAAAACGCAATTTTTGTTGTGCAATGTATGCAAAACATGCGAACAGATTACTGTTTTAAAGTTGGCAATTTAATGACAAGAAGCCTCTCTATGAAGAAAATCGTTCTGACCTAGATGTTGATGGTTGCTGACAAAAATGTTACATACATAACTTAATTACTACTACTGCTAAACATATCAACAATAATACCTATCGTCCAACTGAAAAAAAGGATGTGGATTTTTTTAATAAACACTGGAATGACGCCAAAACGAACAAGGTTAAATAATGAAAAAAGACGAGTGATTTCGGTTGTAGGATATCATATGAAATCAACAAAATAAAAATGTCTTTGGAGTGGAATATAATTTAAAGATAAAGCAGCGCTAGTAATAAATTGTAAATAGTAGCAGTTCTGACACACGATATACAAACTAAGCAGTAACACTCTTCTAGAGAGAAACAAACCCGGCCGGCCGATTAGAAAAAATGTCAGTAGTGTCAAATTAAACGAGTAAAAAAACAAGTAATGATATGGGAGGAAAAGCAAACAATAATCTTCGTAGCTTCAAGGTTATATTCGGGGATACTCAGTTTTTACTTTTTATGATACTTTTTTCTTTTTTTAAGACAGTCGTACTTAATGAATTATAAAGATTGACAAAATAAAAAGCGACTGAGAAGAAGAAAATGATCTCAAAAATTATACCGGTTGAAGGAGGACTGGATGATGTTCTTTTAGTTGCATTCATTCCTCTATTTTTTAAGTTGTTTATTTTTCTTTTCTTTTCTGCAAGTGGTGAAATTTGATTGGTGCCGTTGTGAAAATAAAGATGTTCTTAAAAATATTTTTTAAAAAGGGTTGTAATTTTGCTCTATTCTTCTTTTTTTTCTCGCAGTTCCGTTGAGTGCTGTTGCTATATAAATGCTGTGTAGTCAAATAAAGCCATCCGCCGAAGAGAAGAAATATGACTCAAACAAAATTTAAATGAATAAAAAAAAAAAGGTGATACACAACGCCTGTCTGTTTGATCAGTGTAAAACGGGACAGTTAGTGTCAGTGTCGATGTTTTGTTTTTAATTATAAAGTTATATAGTCGGATGATGATTTTTTAAAAAGCTTTTTTCTTTTTTTTTTTTTAAACTGAGAAGCCGGCTTGTCACTTTTCGGTGGAAAACAAACTGTAGCTGTTGTGTGTATAATTGCTGTGTTTTCGGTAGATATGACTTACATACTTACTCCCTCTGAACATTTCATCATCAGCAGATTTAGAAACTCAGTCTTCTATACAATAAATAACGCAGAAAATATTTGCTCCAAAAATTACAAATTTAATCGCGCCTCTTTATTTTTCGTTCTCTAATATTGAATAGATAATTAACTTGAAAGAATTAAAAAGATAGGTTGTAAATATTTCAAATTGTTGTTGTTACTGCTGCTGCTGCTGATGATGATGATGATGAAGGGTGGGTATTTTTTTTCATTGTGGATTCAGGTCGCCGGGTTTTTGACATTTGATGTAATATAGCGCCAGAATAGATAGTGACGAACTGTAATTTTGATTTTATTGCTTAGAGATTTTAATAATTTGTTAACGTGAAAAGTTGCCTGCCATTTTTTTACTATGTTATGTTTACTCGAAGTGTAAGAAAAATTGCGTGTGTTTTGAGAGGGTCTGGGACAATTGTTGGAACAGCTATCTTGTTTATTACACGTACAGAGAGTAGAAGGAGAAAAGAGAATTACATAGAAATTAGAAAGAGTAAGAGAAAAACATAAGGTGCCTTAAAACTGAGGGATACATGAAATATATAGAGAGGGGCCAAAACAAAGTAGAGAAAGTGAGGTTTAGTAGGAGGAGTTGAAAAGTGAAAGATTAGTTTCAAGCCAGACAGAGAAAGAGAGTCTGAACGAAGAAATTTGTAGGAGCAATGGTGTGAGTTTGTTTAAAAGGGTATAGCAAAAAACACGATAAGAAGACAGCAACTACTTTTCCAAAACAAAATGTACTGCAAGTGGTGTCCGTTGATACAACGACGAGGAGGAGGATAAAGTCGTATGGTAAAAAAAGCTACCACTTTAACGTGTGGATCGTAAATTAAACCACAAATTTATTTACCCAGTGGCTTTTTCTAGGTGATTATAAAAATGATGCCATACAACAAAATGAAATGAAACTAAAAACTAAATGAAGACTAAGGTTAAGAAAGATGTGAAAAATGTCCAGTATAGAGTATTTTTAAAAAAGTAAAACCAATTTCATTTTATTTTTGGGCAAACTTTGAGAGAGTTTTTAAAATGCTAGTGAAACGCTTTAGGCTAAAAAATCTCTAAAACCACGGGATTTCTATAATTTTTATTTCCTAACATATCTTCTTGTATTTTTAAAATAGTGTTATTAATTAGCTGTAGTTATAACTTTAGTTAGTTAAAAAGTGAACACTTCAGTCCAGTGATGTAATAATCGACCTCAGTACAGTAGTAGTGTGTAAGGAATAGAAAACCGGCCGGTTAATTAAAATTACATAAAAAAAAAACAACTAAAAGGAAGCCATGATAAGCTATATAATTTTTAGTAAACTGCATCACACTTTGTAGATGTATAGCGGTGGGGGAACATGATGAGTAGCTGAAGGATTGATAGAAAATTCGACACCGGACCAGTTGAAACATAAACTGTAAACAGCAACATTTTATTACATCAGTCTACTCTCAACTGATGCGGCACTGGCCTCCCCTTCCGTTAAATAGAGTAATGGTCTGAGTAGTGAAGTCAAAAGAGGGGTAAAGAGAACACCAAAGAATTAAACTGAGGGTGTATTTGGCAGCAGTTATAGATGTAAATGGAGGGGGAGGAGAATATGTTCCCAGTGTGCACGACACAAAATGGTGGTGAATGTAGTCGAAGCTGGTCATGTAACTTTCTCGTTTCCGGCTCGGTCGTTATTTCCGACTGTGTCGTGGCGAGACTGTTGCTTCAAGTTCACCTATTCGCTGTTAGTCGCATGTACCATATCCAATTTTGTTAGTGCCTTAGCCTTATCAGATGGGTTGGAAGGTAAACAATAATCCCATCCACATTTTTATGTGTACTATTTATCTTGCACCTGTCACTTTGAATATTTTTCTTCTCTTCATCCACACGTCGCATTTAGCGAAAAATCTCAAGAGTAAATTAAACTTTTACAAAAATATTTTTAAATAATCAAGAAAAAAAAAGGAATAATATTTCACCCTTTACTCAAACATATAGCCGGTTATTTTAACTATTCGTTTTATATTTGGCACCATATTTTTTTATACCTAGGACAGTATTGTCAGCAAAATTCTTACAGTATCTTTTGGCAGGTTCGAACCCAAGACCAACAGTTTTTTTTTTTTTTTTAACCTTTTTTTTTTTAATCGATTCTTGAATAGTAATACCACATTTATTAAAATGTTTTTCTATAAAACAAAAACTAAAATATTTTTTAAAAATAGTCAAAAAAAATAAAATGACATTTTTTAAGCAAATAAAATCAAATAAGTATTTAGAAAAAAATAATGAAAATACGCTTTCTTTTGCAAAGGAAAGAAATATTCAAAAAGTTACCCCCCCAAAAGTATAGTTCTCATATTTTGTTCTCCGTGTTTGAAAAATCGTAACCTTTCGCTTTGTTTACTTACTTTCTACTGGATGTTCAATCAATGTCTAGAGAAAAAAAAATGTAAACTAAATAAATACGTCTTTTTGGTTTTTTTTTTTTTTTTTTTTTTTTTTTTTTCTACAGCAATCCATCTTCTCGTCTAATGCTTCCAGCCTTTATTAATTCTTTAAATTCTCCTTCCTATATTATTTTTTTTTATTTTTTACCTATAACTTGCATGAAAACATTCTTCTTTCTACTTTAAATGCTGGATATTTCTTCTTTTTTTTCTTTTTTTTTTTTTGCATCTTATTTTTGAAATTTTCATATAAAAAAAAAAGCTAAAAATCACTTTGGGTGACTTGCACTGTATTTTTTGTCAAAATTAAAGTACGGATTTTTTAAATAACCTAAACTACCCTGTTTCGTTGATAAAATTTTCTACATAATCCCCTCCAAATTATGTTACTGTGGATGTGTAAATTATTAGTTATTTTTTATTCTACTTTTTTTTTTAATTAAAATATTTCAACTCACGACCACAATCTAATAAAAAAGCAATTGCACTGTTGGAGGATATCTGTTCTTTTTTCGAGGGGTCACGTGTTTTGGGTTTTTCACGTATCACGTGTTAAATAAAAATTTTATTTCAACAAAACTTTTTTTCCTTAAGTTTTAAACTTTTATGTAATTTTTGCTTGTTTTTTTTAAATCACCATTCGTCGGTATAATCTTCTACGCGTTTTTAAAGCTTATACAAATGTACATAAAATCATCGGTCGAGATAAATTATGCTGTTACTTAAAATTAAAAATGTTACATTTGTTCAGTTTTCATGTTCATTGGTTTTTTAAATTTGGATTTTACCCTCCAACATACTTTGTTGAATTTTCTGGAATATCATCTTTCCCATTTAAAATGTTATTATTTCAGCTTTGGCCATTCAGTTGTGTAAAAATTTATTAATTAAACACTTTAGTTGTCATCAGTTAAAGCGTCAATCTTCTTGCGTGTTTAGCTGGTTTTTCAGATTGAAAAGATTATTTCTATAAGTCTTATAGAAAGATGAAGAAGCTGATAGTGATTTCATTTGATATGCTTGATTGAATTTTGTTTTTTTTTTACTTGGCTAGGTAATCATTTAAGAGTTCTTTATAAAATTCTTGAATATGCTTGCAAGTCCAAACAGGTCAGGTTTTCTTTATTGTTTTGATATCGAATTTTAAAAAATGTATGTTTTATTTGAACAATGAAAAATAGTAAAAAAATTAAACTGGGTTGTATTTTAATATTTTTTGGCTTTATTATTTCAATTAGGCTCCTCAACTACTTTTTTAGCCAGTATGAGCCATACTGGCCGAAATTTTATTTCACCTGATGATGGCCATACTGTATGGCCATCATCAGGTGAAAAAAATTCTCCTTGTTAGGAGTGAATGACTGTTTATGAAGAAAATGAACTTTATCTGTAGTTTTCATTTGTTTTGTTGTTTTTTTATCGTTAATTTTGGTTGGTCCTTGTGTTGGTCAAACGGCCTCTTTCAAGTTCTTTTTTAGATAGAGGCTGGGGAGATTCATGAGTCGCAGAATTTCCTTCTTGGTCATTTTGACAATTTTATTGGTTGCTGGGGGGGATGTGTGTGTTAAGTGTTGGGAGTGTGTATGATATGTGTAAGTCTTATATGTGAAGCAAGCATGTCTGTGTGTGAGAAATGTGGGTATGGCTTGATTTATGGTGTTATAATTAATTCCATCTATGTTGTTGATTTTGTGGTTAAGCCTGTTTGGAGGAAGTGTTTGAGGTGCATTTATCTTCATGTTCTAAAATTTTTCTACAATAATCTTTTGTGTTTATTTCTATTTTTTCAGTTATAGTGAATTTGGCATGGCTTTTAAAATCATGTTTTTCTAGGCAGAAATGTTGTTCTACAGGTAATAATATTTTGTAGGGAGCCAACTTGATCTGATTCCGATAATTATTAATTCTGTAGTGAAAGGGCTATTCAGATTTTCCCGTATATTGTTCCTGGCATTCTAATAGGTAAATTATGTTATGACTTCTACAGTAAGAGTTATGGTAGATTTTGAAAGTAAATTTAGTGACTGAGGTAGTGAACAAATGGGTACATACATACACAGACATACCAATATATTAATATTGGTATGTCTGTGTGTGTATGTATTATATATATATATATATATATATATATATATAATTTTATGGCTGGCCGCCCATATCCATGTATGCTTTTCTACTAGTGCAGCTAGCCAATCCCAGTTACAGTTGCCTGATCAGGCACATTTGTCTTTGTTCAACATCCACAGAGCCCACCTGTGGTTTATACTGCACTACCTATGCTGAGTGGACCTTAGTTACATTTAGGAGAGAGAGCACATTATCTGATATGATCAATGGTCTGAATAAAGCCAGTACACTCAAACTATAGGTTACAATGACTTGTGACTTTGTTCTAGCACAACCACTGACAGCTCTCAAATAATTCCGTTTATCGAGTTTCATTCACAAGTCTTAAGTCAACCTGTGGTATAGTTTACAGACACTTTCTAAATATTTAACTTTATTTTCCCTAACTTAATTTTCACAAACAACATTGTTGAGGTGGAATAGTGTATTGAGAATTTAAATTTTATATCTTTTATAGTTGTTTTTGGTTGTCTCATAGAGATAGGACATATCTCTTAAACAAGTTTCCACATTATATTAAAAACAGTTTTGTTTATTACTTAGCAATTAATTGTCAAATACTTGATTTGTTTAAATATGGTAATGTCTGAGATCCAGATATATTTTCCTAATAACCATCCATTCTTCTGTTAGCAGAATATTTACATTCTTAATATAAATTCATTCAAAATGATGATCATGCCTTTCTAAAACACCTTATTCCTATTTAAAAAAACTTACACTATGAAGTAATCTTCTGGAATGTTTGGTTGCACATCTATTTGGTTGATAAAAAAGATTTTGTTTTAGATGCACTCATGTCATTAAAAAATATATAATTATGATAGCTATCATATGAAGATTCTTTCTTTTTTTTTTAAATAATTTTTGATTATTGATTCTATTACTACAAGATAGAAGAGAAGAAGCAACATTTCCATCATGTTTTTTTTTTTTTAGAAAATGTAAAAAGATAATTCAAATGCAAAAGGAGATTTGTATTGTTTATGAAATGTAAATTATCTTGTGTGAAAAGTGGTTTGCAGTTTCATTCAGATTTCTCAATGATACTTCATGATCAAATAGACCAATTAAGTAATCAAATCAAGATATAAAAATAATCAATATTATACAACATAGGAGATAGCCAACATAGAATATTTGAAAATCATTTGCACCAGCCTGATTAGTTTAGCTGCTTTGATATATAGCTTTCAGAAATTAAACAGGAAAATCTTGTGTGTCCATATCTGAGTCATTTGATGCTTGAGCATAAAAAATTCTCCAGTTCTAAAACAGATTGGCATCAAATGAAAAAGAGATTATTACAATGTTGAATGAAAGAATGAAAAGCAAAATGAGCCACCACTCACCATTCATTTAAAGAAGGTGATATTATCTACATGGTTGTATTGAAAAGGAGTTCTCTACTATGAGCTTCTTACATAAGGAAAAAGGATGTATTTCTAATATATACTATTACTACTAAGTGAAGTCAACAATCCAAAAAATGCACCCAAAATTAGTTAATAAAATGGGATAATATTCCAGCAAAGTGATGTTAGACAGGATGTCACTGGTTACCAGGCAAAGCCTTGTTAAATTTTCCTTGCAAAGTTTTCCCTAATCTACCATATTCAGCAGATATTTTATGTTCAGATTATGGAGTTGACTGAAAGATTAGAGAAAATAGAATAAAGTAGTATATATGTTGTTCAAGAAAGACAATGTTGAAAATAATAAAAAATCTATGCTTTTTACTTAAATTGATCAAACTTTTTAACTATTTTCTCTCTCTCTAATTATGCAAGTCAATGTTTTTATAATAAAATTAACTGTTGGGACAAAATTTTCAGGATATGTTTAAGCAATATATCATGTTAGTTTTAATTTATAGTATTTATCCATGTTTAAAATATTGATAACTTGTTTTATGCTCATAAACTAAATGCAACATAAATTTTTATTTACAAATAAATCCAAAAGATATAAGGCCATACCATAGAAAAATATTTGATTAACACAATAACCTATATCTCTGAATAAATTGTTTTATTATTTTACATAGGTACCTCCACGAGATCGCTAAAAAAAGAGCTTAGCATGATGAAAAAGACGCCAAACTTGACAAAAACAAAATTTTATCGTCTAAATGTTTGTTATTATTAAGAGGAAAGGTCAAAGTATTTTTGGGGTATTTTTTTCCATTTTTTAATCGTTCCTAGCACGTCCGAAATTTTCGTTAAA